GAGTTTATTCCTAAAATTTATTTAAAAAGAGGGCAATTCGAAAATTTGCGAGACTTGTATATCCGTGACATTACAGTGATCACTGTAAAGCAGTCGATATTTTCATTCAAAAGCTAGTACTTCGTTGTAGTTGGCGGCATCTACATCGAAATTACTAGCTTCTATTATTACACCGATCAACAGCCAAAAAATATCCTAAATAAAATCAACAAAATATTACTATTTTTAATGTGCTAAAACCGGAATGAAACTTATTTTTTCAATATTAGTTCAAGTTTTAGAGATACGGTAATTATATGTGTTCCTGCTGTAACAGTGTTAATATACTGTAATTCACAAGAATGCACCTGCAACATTTTTATATTCGGCAAGGAAAGATGATGTAATCGGCATGATTGTGTTACGTTATACATTCGTGTACATTACATAAAACAATATTATATTAGCCATTTTTTCCTCAGTTGGCTGACAGCGTTCATGCAAGATGTCTCGAAAGTGTGTAAACAATCCAGATCAATTTTGTTACGTGTGTGGTGATGTGACTTTTGCGTCTCAGAGACGGTCTATTACTCCACTAATAACAAAGACATATCAGCTTTATTTCGGTTGTAAACTAGGTGATCAAGACAAACAGTGGGCACCCCACATCTGCTGTAATACATGTGCTTCAAGTCTGAGGAGCTGGTTAAATGGCAAAAAACGGTCTATGCGCTTTGCTGTCCCAATGGTTTGGAGAGAGCCTACAAATCATATTAATGATTGTTACTTTTGCATGGTACCTTGTGTTGGTCAAGCCACAGGTATATCCAAGAAAAAAAAATCGGTTATTAACTACCCAAACATACCATCTGCGATGAGACCTGTGCCTCACAGTGACGAAAATCCTATTCCAAAACCCCCAGAATCCTACACTTGCGAATCAGAAAACGAATCAGATCATGGCGATCGAGTGATTCGTCAGGAAGAAGATATGCCATCAACGTCAAGAGATCCTGATTTTATACCGAACACGTCATGCCACCAACCGCACGAAATAACACAGTCAGAATTAAATGATCTTGTAAGAGATTTAGAACTTCCAAAATGTAAGGCAGAGTTACTTGGATCAAGACTGCAGCAGTGGAACTTGTTAGAAGACGATGTTTCGGTATGTGTTTTTCGTAAACGCCACAAAGACATAGAACCATTTTTCAATATGGAGAATAACTTGGTTTTCTGCAGTAAAACTAACGGCTTACTGGCGGCTTTAAATATAAGCTATAACCCAGAAGAATGGAGATTGTTTATAGACAGTTCAACATTGAGTTTAAAGGCAGTTTTATTGCATATTGGAAATATTTTACCATCTCTTCCTGTAGGGTATGCAGTTCACATGAAAGAATCATATGAAAATATGAAGTACCTATTGACATGCATAAAATACGATGAGCACCAATGGCATCTTTGTGGCGATTTGAAAGTTGTTGCACTTTTACTTGGGCTGCAGCTAGGCTACACAAAGTTTTGCTGTTTTTTGTGTGAATGGGACACAGACGGGCAAAGGCACTTCATTACACCAGACAAAGCTGGCCTGTTCGTCAATTCCTAGAGCCAGGTCAAAAAAATGTACAGCATATGCCATTAGTAGATTCGAAAAAAATTTTATTACCACCACTGCATATCAAGTTGGGCCTAATGAAAAACTTTGTCAAGGCATTAGATAGAGATGGGTCAGCTTTTCAATACCTGCGTCACAAATTTCCAAGACTAAGTGAGGCAAAGGTTAAAGAAGGTATTTTTGTTGGGCCACAGATTCGAAACATTTTGAAAGATACACAGTTTGAAAACACAACAGGTATTGAAAAAACTGCTTGGAATGATTTCCGTCTGGTGGTCACTAATTTATTGGGAAATAGAAAAGCTGACAACTATAAAACCCTTGTCAAAAATATGCTGGCATCGTATCAAAAGATGGGCTGTAATATGTCTCTTAAGATACATTTCCTACACTCACACCTGGACTTTTTTCCTGACAATTGCGGAGCCGTAAGTGATGATCACGGCGAACGTTTCCATCAGGATATTTCAACAATGGAAAAAAGGTACCAGGGAAAGTGGAATCCTTCCATGCTTGCAGACTACTGTTGGACTCTTGGTAGAGATGCTCCAGAAACGATCCATAAAAGAACAGCAAAAAGACAGCGCATATAGTGATTCTTATAAGTATATGAATCTAGTTACTTTTTTTAATATATCCTTAAAGATAATTTTTTTTTCCGCAACTATTTTTTTTATTTCATTGTCATTTTTGGATTCAGCGCCCCAAAATTAACAAAGGAGTGCACTTGTCTCACAAGATACTATTAAAAAACTAAAATTTGTTGTCCAGTTTATTAGTGTCTGGGATTATAGTTTCGTACATTCACCTTTCTATATTCATCCAGCAATCTGTGAAATTTGCTAAAAAATCGCACCCGCAAACGGTACACAACCCTCGTATCTCTCATGATATCCGTTAAGGCATTAAATTATTCGCCAAGCTGAACGACAATCTCAGTGGCGCCAGGGAATTCCGCGCTGCAGCGTCGAAAAATCCATAAATTTTAGCGGATATAAAAAATTAACATACGCTGAACGCCCAGAGCCACCCACGGTCTTGCACGGGGCTTTGCATTGTTGCACAGAGTGCCAATGTCTCCTTTTACGACAACAGTATTTTCGGAGCCAGGCACGAGCCTCAAAAATATGGTTTTTGGTAGGTGGAATGCCATTTCGGCCGTGAGTGGTTTGTAACCGACATTCAATATGGCTGTGATTCTGGAAAATACTTTTATATCAGCATTGGATACGTGTACTCGTAGGAGCATAGCACGTGTTGTCTGAAATTTGATGACAATGTGGATGATTGAGATGTTTCTGGGAATGCTATAAGGATTTTCAATTGACGTGGTCCTCAATCGTCATCAGGTGAACTGGCGAACACGCTCCTTTCTTGTATATTTACACCATTTGATTACGTGGCACGAGGTTGGTTGTGACGTGACCCTCTTACCAGTTGGTTGAGTTACAATTGTTTGATGTTTCTTACAATCGGTTTCCATACTGGTTTAACATTCACACTTGGATTACTGTAAATGTTTTCATTCGTTTTTATGGAGGCCGTGTCCTTGAATTTCCTTTGATGCCAGTGTGCTTCGTTTTATAACATCTTAGCATGATCCCAAAGTGATCTGTGGTGCCTTCTCTGAGCGTGATCTGCTATCCCAGATTTATTCGTTCCCGTTCCGTGTTGGATTTATGCTGTATTCTTACTGAGTGTGGCCTCTTTGTGTTTCTTATGTATATCTCTTCACATTCACATAGCACCTGATATACACAGTCCTAGGTGTTCCTGTTTTTGTTCATAGGTTTTACATTTGTGAGAATGCTGCGAGGTATGTTGTTCCTTCTATCTATCTAGTTTCGATTTGATATCGTGTTCCTATTCTTCTGAATGCAATACTCATTCACTCAACATACTATGGTTAAAGTAAGAATTATAGTAAGTATATGCTGGGATTCCTTCCACGCGTTTGTACTGTTGTTGGTGTGGGTTTCTGCCAGAACTTGATTTATCAGTCGTCTTGGGTAACCATTATTAATTACATAGTTTTTCTGATCTGATATTTATTTGCGTGATGCAGACGTTCTCGCCCAGCCTATAAGCGTTCTAATTAGGTATTTCTTCGTGGTTGCCGTATGACTGGAGGAGAAATTTATGTATTGCACTCCGTGTGTTGATTTTCCGTATACAGTTGGTTCTATTCTTTAGTTGTTCTTTGTTAACATGACGTCCAAGAATAATATGTATACAGGGTGTCCCGAAAAAAATGTTCAATATTGCACCACCGGTTTCTAAAGCTTAAAATAGGAAGAACAGTTTATATAAACATAGGTCGACAAACGTCTCCTAAGGGCGCTACGGTCTTTTAAAGGGGTCCCCTGAAGATGGTTTTTCCTTAATATTTCCGAAACGTGTTGAGATAAAGACATAAAAATTTGGTATTCTAGCCTAGTTTTTTATGCTGGATTTAAAAATATTAACAATTTTAGGAAGTTTTGTTTGAAAGCGTATGTAACAGGGACGGACTCAAGTTATTTTAGCCCCAAAATTTTTGTGTGATTTTATTTTTGAAATTCAATTTTAGAATCTGAAAATATAGGGTTTTATACATAAAAAAGGTACTCTTATTGAATATCGATAAATTGTGCCATTTTTGAATAAAATCAAACTAAAGAATTTGTCACATGATAGGAAATGTACTGCGAATTTAAAGAATTCATACGCTACTAGGTTCTTCATATCATTAAACCGTTTTGTCAAAAAGCCAGCTTTGTCTTTAGAGATGAGACCGGTAGACGAAAAGATTTTCCCACTTTTCCGTCTGAGAATAACTCCGGCAGCGACACCTTTAAACGTTGTCATCAGATAAAAGAACTGCATCGGGAGTTATTCTTAAACTTACTGTGCGCTGAAAAAAATTAGATTGATGATTTAAAGCAGTTATCTAGGAATATCTTGCTATAAGCAAGCAGCTATATCTTATTACTTCTCAAGCCTATTGGCGAAGAGTTATACTGCCGTCATAAGCCAGAACGCAGTAAGTGCAAAAAATGCGAAAATGAGGTATTGTCATTATCATATGAAAGGCACCCAGAAGAAGCTTATTTTGATGATAAACCACAGTTTATGTCACGGAAAATACCGAAAATCTGAAATTTTTGTTTTACAGTATCTAGCAAGGAACACAGTATCTGCACAACAATAAAACAAAACACAGTAAATGACACGTACTTACTGTATTTTTGCTTAGAAATGGCTGCCAGTTGCCGCCAATTCGATTTGTACGTCTGGACCTGTGAGTGGGTGTGTAAGGTTGTTGATGCATCTTACGATTAACTTTTCAAGTGCTTAAATCAGGTAATGTTCGAGCAAGTTCAACATATGTTTCTGATGATTACTTATAAAACACTTCTTTTAGAGCACCTGTCTAGAGACACAGTGTATAGAAGCAAGAAATTGGCTATAATGGCAAAAGAATATTCTGATGTTGAGAATCAGCGCGAGTGTCCTGGAAAAGTTGAAAATTTAATAACCATGGAGACTGTAGATACTGTATCTGATGATTTATTACTAGCAATGCAAATGTGTACAAAGCCATTTCTTATTTCCGATGACTCTTTGATGCTGGATGTAACTCCATTGTATTTACATACAAGACCTATATGAATGATAGTTTTATTACTGGTATTCTCTCAGATATACTGGATTCTGTTTTTGAGATGGGAGACTGCAAGATTCAGGACATGATTGTTGTAGATGAGAATTTTCATCCTCTGATCGCACCTACCACGTTACAGTCAGAATCTAGTAACGTCGTAATTTTACAGAACCTAGTTTTTCTAAACGATGACCATTAAAATCACACACGGAGCTGAAGAGCCCTTACCGCTACAAGACGTCACCTTTACCGGGCAGGAGAACTCGCAACAAACAGAAATTCCACCAGGTATTTTTTATCAGGTACCATTATTATTTTGATAACTTATTACATGACCTATCTTTTGTAGCTTTGGTCGCCATCCATCAACAAAAAAATTTGACAGAAAAAAAATTGTTGCGCACATTGATTCGTTCCACCCAACTGCGTCACATTTCAGAAGGGAGCATGCTCCCAACGTAAGATATTTACCAAGTGATGTTACTGTTGCAATTATGCATCAAGATTTCCTGGAAAAATATCCCGCATTTCAGCTATCATATGATCTTTACAGAAAGGTTCTAAAAGAGATGAATGTGCATTTCACAAAGCTAGGGCTTGAGCAGTGTGAAACTTGCGAAACATTCAATAGACACCAGCCTGGTCTCAACAGAGATAGCCTAAATGCAGAATGTGATACCTGTTTGTTATGGAAGCGTTATAATGAAAAGTACCTTTCTGCCAGGAAGCTATACCAACAGCATGCCCAAACTACTTTTCCACCTAGAGAAATATGTTTATCAGTCGACCTCCAAAAAGTGATCATGCTGCCTAGAATGAATATGTTCAAAAAAGCACTTTTCACAAAGCGATTAGCCGTATACCATGAAAGCTTCGTTCCAGTCTAAAAAAAATCATCGCGTGAAAACATATTCTGCAGTGTGGCATGAAGGAATCAAAGGTAGAAATAATTTGTGCTTACTATGCGTTCTTTCTTTACAACAGAGATGTAAAGGTAGTCAATCTGTGGGTAGACAATTGTTCTGCACAAAATAAGAATTGGTGCTTTCTGTGCTTCCTTATATATATTGTAAATTCAGATACAACCTCCATCAGGAAAATTATAATAAATTATTTTGAGCCCGGCCATACGTATATGTCAGCAGATAGCTTCCACCACCAAGTTGAAAAATGTATGAAACACAAACAGGAAGTTTTCGACTTCAGCGATTTTTCAGATGCTGAACGAATGGCATGAGGAACAAATGGTTTAGTTAATGACTTGCAACATGCAGACTTTTACAATTGGATTGACCACCATTCTGTACAAAAAGTGAAGTCGCAGGTCCATCTATCCGATAGCTGCTGAGAGAGGCAAACTTACTCTCAAGTACAAAAGGACTTACGAGCAAGATTCTGAGCAACTTGATTTTTTAAAGAAAAGCTCCAAAAAAATTGTGACTGTTCAGTCAGAGGCCATAAAGCAGCCAGCTGGAATAGATAGACTTACAAGGGATACTATAATTAAAAAGTTGGGTCCACTGATGGCACAAAACAGACTGAACTTTTGGAAGAATGTCCCAATTAAATAAGTAACTAAAGTTCAATATTTTTAATTGCTTGGTTTTTATGTTGAATTTGTTTTTTTTATGTTATGTTCTGTTTCTATGCTTGCCGTCAATAAATCATCATCATCATACTGTTGACACTAATTTATTCCAACCGAATGTTCCCCCATCCCAAAATAAATAGTCAAAATCTGTCATAGTTTGGGTGGCTGCATCTACAACCTAAACCACATATTTAGCATACCTGTAAGAAAGATCATAGCATGTACATGGCATAGTACTTACTGTGTTATTATTTAAAAAGATAACAGCTCTGACAGTTCTGAAATAACAGTAATCATCAAAATTAATGAGTTCGTTAGAAAATATGATCAATTTTAACCAGGTACAAACCAAAAACATCCTTCTTCCTTAAATCGTTACAATTTGAGAAGGTTTACAACACGTTCTCATCGCTCCTGTAACATGCGAAAATTGTAGATACTATCTTCTGGCTTATGACGGCAGTATAGTATTCGCAAAAATTCCGAAAATGAAATACGTTCTTATTTACTACGCCACTGGGCTAATCGCGCAAAGTGTCGAAAATGAGATATTGAGTAGTGGGATGTTCTATGAACGGATTGAGGGAGGATAATTTGTGTTCTCTGACGATAATGATACTGAATCTTTTTATTTCCCCACGCTAATTGACACGGAAGCTTTGCAGTCACGAAAAAATTCTAAACTGATCTATTGTGTTTTTAGATGTTATATGACACGTGCGTCATAGAAAAGACCACCTCACTCATTTCGGTAAGTGTGTCGATCTATCTGTCGCCAATTGGCCCGTCTATGACTTCTAAAGCACTGCCCTGATTTGATGAAACTTTTACAAAAAGTTACTACTATACCACGAATTTGGAAAAGATTTGTAGTTCTTGATGAAATCGGTGTAGTGGCGGCGTTGGCAACAACCAAAAGCTGAATAATAAAAATCGCTCAAACATTGTTTTTGGCGTTTCAGAGGATCTTGATTATTTTCAGAAAAAATTTAATAAGGGTTTAGAATCGGGGGTTGGGGGTTGTAGATTGTGAGACAGTTTATGTATAAATCTCGAACCTCGGAAATTTTACGCACCTAATACTATTTGTTTCAGACAACACGTATTTCCTACACTACTACTACTCATAGTTGCCTTTAAGATAGCGATATATTTACAGATTCGATGGGATCAGTGTGCATCCGCATCTCCGGTGTTCTCGATCTCGGGTTATAGTATCGTGACTGGGCTTAGAACATGGTTAACTGATGTGGTTCAGCACCATTTCCAGGTGGTCAATACTTAGGAGAGGGAAGAAACGAGCGTTAGCGCTGTTAATCTACCTCAAGGCAACAAATGATAGATTGACATGATAGATTTCTGATTGCCGTGCCTATGAATTTTCACTCACTTACAGTCTAGGACCTTAGAGTGTTATTAGAAAGACCGCCATTCCCGTGAGAATGTTGCCGGAGGCTTGTTCTATAAAAGCGATCTGGAAAACTATTTTGTTCACTACCGACAATAATGTGGTAGTAGCAGAATAGCAAAGCAATGAAAACTCTTGTCAGTAGTTGCAATGTGATGATATAATAATGTATAGGTATGCAAGCATTCTGATCTAATATATATAATATGACTATAATAAGTCACTCAAGCATGTAACTAAGTGACGGCACTTATTTGTCAATCATTATGAAGATCACTATTTCCTGTATAGTTTACATGTCAATTAAGAAGGCGGGTGGTGCGCCGATATTAAGCAATTGAAAGCTTGTAATAATGTTCATCAGGATATGTAAACAACAGATTAAGCTAATTCAATAAGATCTAATTAAGATAATTGATTGCATAATCGGCTCATACGAAAAGCATTTCCAAATAAATTTCCAGCTTATAGCTCCCCTTAAGATAGCTCAGACTGCTAAGATCTTACGATACATCGATCAGTTGTAATTATCCAAAAGCTAAATGGTTGTTTAGATAGCCGTGTCTTCATTAACAATTATAATTGAACCATGACGGATAGCCAGCAAAGCTTTTAAGTAATTTACACATATTTATTTTGTATTTTGGTTGTATGCGCTATTATACCGTTGAATAATATATGTTATTAAACGCTATGTTTTATATGGCTTAAATTATGTTATGACATGATTAGAGTATATCACAAATATAAACTTTTGAGGCGCCCCCTAAAAGGGTTCACAGAGACTTAAGGCAAAGGCTATGGAATACCAGAGTTACGTTCTATAGTAGCATAGATTAGGTCGACTGTATTCCAATTTTTAAAGTAGATCAAGTTATTTTTCTTGCATTTCAACATGTGACAGTCAGGTACACCGACAGGTACAAGGATAAGACGAAAAGTCCTGGGCCTGCCAATGATGAATGTGATTTTCACTTAAATAATGACTCTCCTTTCTTCCAGTGGGGCTATCAAAATATAATAAGGAGATGGTCGAATAAATCACATCTCAAATCCTGCAGTTTTCCCATCACTAAGGCGAACGTCACACGATCAGTACTTGGTGTGATCTGTCAGTATTTATCATGAAATGTGTATTTAATGACCGTGCGTGAGTAACTATTGATGTATGATTTATCGCAGAAATCCACTGACACTGACGTAATGATCAGTATATGTATACTGATGGTGCGGACCACAGTAAGTACTGGTTGTGTGACATTCGTCTTACATACCTTTGTGAGCAAGATTAAGATCGAGATTCTTCTCCTCTCGGGCCTCTTCCACGAATTTTGCCATCCAGCTGTTCAAAAACGTTAGAGTAGTATTCTTTCGGGGTAAGTATACCCCCTTTCCACCGGCTCCCATCCCCTGCTTCGACTCCTTTTTTGTGTCTGGTGTATAGTGGTGGACCCGCCTCCATTCATAGTAACGAATTGCTGGACAGAATAGGTCAGCTCCATTTTTAATTGGACAAGCTATTACTGCGAAATTTGTTTGATTATCGGCTTTTGGTAAGCATCCACCATGCCCAGAGCCTCCTCATCCTTGATCGGCCTCTCATCGGAATCTCACCGATATCCTGGATCTTCCCGATAGATTCATCCGAGGCTGTGTTTTTTTGTCGCCGTGCAAGGGGGTCATTTTCAAGGGACGTGCTATTACATTTAAGTTTAACTGCCAACTCTTAAACAGCTAAAATCGCGAGGTCAAAATTCCCGTAAATTCGTCTTAACTTTGGAGGACCTCTTTAGGGGTTAATTCATCCAAAACGAAGTATCATCGTAATGAAAAGACACAAGACGTTCACTTTGAAAATTTGACAATTGTCATACTAACAAGTAACGTGCACCCATACAGGCATTATGTATTTTAACCTGACTGTCAGGCCGAGAACATTTCGTCTTACCCTCATATAATGTGTTGTCGTTTGTGATACCTGAAAACACTGTTTATTTCAGAGAATCAGG